TTCAGGGAAATGCATGAACATATATATATATATTATTAAAGTTTCAAATGTATGCATTTTATTTCTTGTAGAACCTCAATCGAATGTTCCTCCTCGAATTACGCATGCTGTTCGACACGTATCAGCCAATCAAGGGGATTTAGTTCTTATTCCATGCGTCGCCCAGGGACATCCAGCTCCAGCTTACAGGTCAGTAGTCTGAGTAGATTATACGTTAACTTTTTTGCTTATATTTTTTTGTATGCAAGAGGATATATCTAAAGTTGTTTAGTGGCATTAAGTATTAAAATTATCTAGTGAGTGCATAATTTATTAAAAAAAGGAACAATCAAGGGAAAGTATTTGCTTAGTTAAGAGGAAACACTCTTATTGAAAAGCCAAGAGCAGCAAAAATTTAAAGGCATCTTTCTTTCAGTCATTTCTCTTCATCTTGTTAATGAAATATCACAAAAAAACTTTAAAATAGAGCAGGATGAAGTCTTGAATGCATTTATTTTTATTTTCCATTTGTAATATTTTTTTGAGAATTAAAAAATATGCATATTGTGCTGCATAAATTTAAAGACTATAAAGGAAAATAACTTTATTTTGTTGATTTTTTGATTTCTAACTTAATAACACAAAGTAATACAGGGAATTTACAGTATGCAATAATTTTTATTGCAAAATCAAAACTATTTACTTTTCAATCGTTACATTTTTGGTATACGCAAAATTTAAATATATTATTTTTATGAATAGTTCTCAAACAGTTTTGTATGATGATTAAACGCCAAAATGACACAAAAATAATCCCAAAAATACGTTAGTTTTTTTTCTATTTAAGAAAAAGAAAGATTTAAACATATGACCTCTTTATTTATTGCATGCAAGAAACTTTTAACTTTTTCTTAAAAAAGTAATAATTTATAGATAAACATTTCTGTTACTATACATAACATATCTGTTGAAATGTTATTCATGATTTTATCAAAGCTGGGGTAAGCCTGACTTGTCTTCATAGCTGCAACTTCAATCTAAAAAGAAAAGTTTTACACTGTGCAATTAAAATACTAAAAGATTACAGAGTCGTTTGATTAAAATTTTCATTTGATTGTTGCGATCATTCTGATTGAGTTTTGATTTTGATAAAATCAAGCCAATGACAGTTATTTTTTTGATATTTGATTTAAATAAATTTGATTTGATTGATGAAAACAAAGTAGTGATCGCTTTGTAAGCATTAGTATGTTGGCTGAAATTACATTGAAACATTTTACGTTATCAGAAGTGGTTTATCAAATGGGCAAAATTAGGAAAATGTTTTTCCCCAATACACCACTTTTCTATCTAATAACGTGAGAAAACTGGTTTTGATGTGCGGAGAAGACTGCAGGTTAAAATACGATTTTTTACGTGCAGAACCGTCAGTGGGTTAAGCTGCAAAATGTGTCAGAATCGAATGTTGCAAAACAACAAAAAGAAATAAGAATTGTAAATAGAAACACTATTAAATTCTAGCAGCATACTGTACAGTAAAAAACTTCTACAGGCTTTTGACTAAATTCTGTCAAAAATATATAGTCAGAAATATCCGTTATCCGCTTTAAGTAAACAAAGAGGGAATAAACGAGAGAAAAAAAACATTCTAAAGTGTCTTTCTTTCACTTTTATAAAGGCTCATATCCTAAAAAATTCCATCGAAACGCAAAGTTATCGCATACAAACTGACCTTAAGAGCAATCTCTTGTTCCAAATGTTATTTGCCACCGGAATGAACCAAATAACTCAACAAGGAAAAGAAAATGAACACAAGCCCTCTAGTTGATCGCGCAGGAGATTTCCCAGACAAATGACAACCATATTAAGTTCGCAAATGTAATGACTTTACCATGTTAGGAAACAGAAATGGGAGATGTCGTATATTATCATTTACTTGACTTACTCGAAGCTTTATGTTCATTTTCTATTTCCCTGAAACATGCCATCTGTGTGTAATCGTTTTCTGACAAATGCTTGTGTACTATGCTATCTGTAACTGTATTATGTAATTACTTTATTTAAACAGCAAAGTCGGAAAGCATTGTAATATACTCTTATTGACTTTAAAAAAAACTACAGAAAACCGCTAGTAAAATAACAAACGATAATTAAAAATGCAAACTAATCTACATGCAAGGGATAAAACAATGTAGATTTAACTTGCGAACTATTAATAAAATTTCATAGCTACAATGGGTCGTAGATGTTAGTTCGATTACTATATAAAACCTAAAAATATTTTAGTTACGTTACATATGAAGAGATCTTTGTGGTTTATGACCAGCTCATCAACAAAAGTAAATCCGAAATGCTAATTAAAAATCACCTCATATTTTACTAACACCTTTGAAGATTAGTTTATTTGCCTTTAATATGTACTTATTGATATAAGTTCTGATGTCTTTTACAGTTTAATGTTTTAATCAACCTATAAATTATTTAAACATATAATTTTCAGTTTTTTTCTTGCTATCTGATAAAACAAGGCAAATTACTTAAACTCTGAAAACAAAGTTATTTCCTATTTTAGATAATGTCAAAACACACTAATACGTACATTGCTTGCTCCAAACAAATTGTCACTATAACTATGTTAATTGCTTTATTAAAGAAAGAAATAATCTGTCACGTATGAATAACATTTATTAGTTACTTTCATTGTTATTGCTTTGCATGGCTTATTGTATTATTTTGATGGAACTTTCCCTTAAAAAGTCATCATTTAGTCAGGGAAAAGCTACCTTTTAAGAACTCCTAGTAGTAAAGTCTAAAAGCATCCGAATTCTTTCAGGGAAATGCATGAACAATTATCTGACTGTACTAAGTGAAAACACAAACCTAGAAAAAAGTAAGTTTCATAAATAAGAGACGATACAAGAATTTATGTGATATATAGCAGACGGTTTATTATTTTATATTTTGGAAATAAATCCGCCAGTTAACACGTTCTCCAAAAAATTGTTCCACAGTCAGAATAAAAATAAAAATTACTAAATAAATAAAACAAAGTAAAAAACAATCCTATTTTTTTTAAAACAAAAAGATGGGAATAAGGGCTTTTTTGAGATTTCTTCAGAGTGTATTATGTAAAACAAATAATCATTAAAATAAAAAAGCTATATTTTGAGATAGCGAATTTATCGCCAATCATAACTGTTCTAAGATACAAAACTTAAAGTTTAGGAAGGGTAGCGTACAAAGACTTTGGGTATTACATTTAGCGGTTTTCCTGGACAAAAAGAAAATGTTCACCCCAAATCATTGTTAGAAAATAAGTCTAGTGTGGAAAATAATTGCGCAATAAACTGTATACTGTGGAAAAATAAGCTTAAAAACCAATATTCAAAGTCTTATTGAGGTAATATCGTACAGTATGATTCAGAGTATTTTTATTATCATCTTCTAAATCTTTTGAAAAATATTTTTAATCCTAATTTAAGAGTATAAAATATTTATTTATTCTTAATTATTTATTTTTAACCAGTTATCTTTAATTTAACCGTAATGTTTCTTATGATCCCTCTTTGGTTTTCTATAATATTTTTAACTTTGATTATGGTTCGAAATTAGTTGTGTCAAAATGTAGATTTTCCTTATTATAAATAACACTTACAATTTTATCTTATTATTCTGCATTTCAAAATGAATTTAGATAAGTTATTTATTCACCTTATTCCGATTTCATAACTATTGAGAAGTTGAGTAAGTTGTATTAACTTTTTACTAATAGCTCTGTTTAAAATTGTGAGTCCACGTGTAATTAAAATAATGAGTACAAAATTGTAAAATAATACTATAAATATTTTTTCGCACTATCAATCAATAATCAATTTGTCAAACAATTTTAACTAGATTTTACAATAACGAAAAATTTAATGAAAAATTAAAAAAAATTAAATGGAAATACGATAAAAAAGAAATAAAATAAAAGGGTTAAAATTCTATTCCAATAGAATCATGAACTAAACCTATCGTTAATGGGGGATCTCTGTTAATATAATAAATAATTTTGGAATCGTTAAATTAAATTAATTTTAATTTCAATGTAACAATACATTTTGGAGCAAGGAAAAAATTGGTAATAATGCACTTTGAAAAAGAGTTTCTCGTTTCTCAAAATTAATCAAAAGTATGTTAAAATTGCTCCGAAACATATATAGTTGAATTTGAAACCCTATGTCCTCATTTTTAAGTATAGTGACGGGCTCAAACTTAAAATAGGGCTTCAAAGAAGGAAAGTGTTGATTACCGTTTTGAAAACGTTCTTTAGTCGTGAAATAATTTTTTAATGAAAGAAGTGCAGTAAACCTTTATCTAATGCAGTAAATTGCTATCTATACCTTTCGAGTATTTAATCGTTAAAGGCTAATAAAGTTTGAACATAGCCTCATATGGATATGATTTGGCATTTTTGAAACTATTTAATTATGGCCATATGTGAGCACCCAATATTCTCTATAATAAATAATTCAACTATATTTTTTCGGAGATTTTCTGACGCGTGCTTGCGCAATTTTAAGAAAACCTTCTTTTACAGTGTAGGGTTTCGTGAGAGCAGAACTTATAATTTTCAGAGGAAACACAATTAAAATATATTGTCCAGAAACAATATTAATAAAATATTTGAATTTTATATGTAAAAATCGACATTTAAATTATGCATTTTTTTGTAATTTTGTTTTTGTGTTTAAGGACTCTTATGCTTGTCTAGGCAAAACTATTTAAAAATTAAATAATAAGCAGATAAATATTTTATTAAGTTTTTCAAAAGCATATATTTGACAAAACATTCATTTTTTGTGCTACAAAAGAAAAAGCTCTTAGTTTTTTTCAATAATTTTTCGGGAAATAAATTCTGAAACCAAATACTGAAGTCAATATGTGCTTTAATAATATATTTAACTGCACTAGTTTTTCTTTTAAATTTAAACATAAAAGATAAATTAACGTAAATAATAATTGAAATTACTGTATTTAAATCTGATTAATGATTAAAGCACTTGAAAGTATAATCTAAAGCAAACACAGCAATTAATAATAATTTTAAAAAATAGTTAATACAAAGCTTCACTATAAATTGGGAATCTACATGAGAAAAGATAAGTTTATTAATCAGTAACGTACCTGATTTGTAATTAATTATTAATGTTACAATGTATTTCTGTTAAAAATAATGTGTAATTATATACACCGAAGAGCCATTACATTATGACCACCCTCCATCTATGAGAATGGACTTGAACAGGTTTTCATGGTTTCCCGCCCAGGAACAATGTTTTCATAGGGCACATTAGGACCCATAATCCTCATAGAACAATCCCTGACGTCTGTAAGCTACTTGAACATAGTTGCAGATCAGGTTCACCCATTCATGGCAACAGTTTCTCATGCGGGGAATGGTGTTTACCAACTGGATTATGTACCAAGCCATGAAGGTCGAATAGTCATGGATTGGTTCGAGGAACATTCCAGTGACTTTCAAGTCATGTCTTGGCTCCCAAATTCACCTGACCTTAATCCAATAGAGCATTTGTGGTTCAACTTGGAAAACCAAATTCGTGCTGCCACGCTATCCCCTCGCAATGTGAGGGAATTTTGCAGGACCAGTTGGTGAGCGCTTGGTACCAGATACCTCACACTACCTATCAGCATCTTGTGGAATCAATGCCACGGCGAGTGCTAGCAGTTTTGAGGGCTAAAGGTGGTCCTACATGTTATTAGCAGGGTGGTCATAATGTAATGGCTCTTTGGTGCATAATGAAGTTTAAATTATTTTATAATGAGTATTGTAAAATAAAATTAAGCAGAAAAACACCGTTTCGAAAAGAAAATTCTTGTAAAAATACCCATAAGTACAGATCAAGCAAGTAAGAATGGTTTCAAAATAAGGAAAATAGCAATTTTTATGTAATTAAAGCAAATAACTATTCTGTTAAAATATTTCTTCTAAATTTAAAAAAAAAATTATGAAGGAACTTGTCTACAGGTGTTTAATTTTTTTTCCTTTTGGGTGGTAATTAAATTAATAAGCAATTTAAAAAATTTCAGAGCTTGTTTTTTTTTATGCGAACTGGATTTCATGGCGATCAGAACAGCATGCAAAAAAGCCTATTAATGAAAGAGTGCTTTGCTGATATAATCGTGTGGGCTGATGAAAATATTATATCTTTTATTTTCCGGATTTTTTAAAAAAATTTAATTCTTTTTTTTTCCCCAGTTATTTTTTTTTTCATTATTATCCCCCCCCCTTTTTTTCCATATGTCTATAATTTTTCTTTGTTTTATTCTTCATTTTGAACTTATCTAATGAGTTCTGTTTACTTGCAGCTTAAGCGCAATAAATGAAACTTATTGTTTTTCTTAACTTTCTTCGTGTTTTCTTGTATTTATTNATACATTATTATAGATATAATATAGACAGTATATATATATATATATATATATGGATGTATGCTTCTCAATATTTCAAGAACGAACTTATGAGAAAATTGCAGAATCTATTTGGAATATATGCATAACCTGAGGAGTGGAAGTTTTCTCAAAAATGTATTTCTTACAGCTGCCAACTTTGATGCATTTTCATTACATTTATTCCTCCTATATTTCCTAAAAATCCGTTTCTATTCCCAGATGGAGTCGGAAGACGGGCGGTCAAACTCTTGACATCTCCTCCTCCGATGAAAAGCATCACTTGATAAACGGTTCTCTTATCCTACGCCGCGTTACCCCCCAAGATGGAGGATTATATGTCTGTGTCGCCAAATGTGACGCTGGAGAAGTTAGATCTGAAACACAGCTGACAGTTAGAGGTGAGACTTTCCAACCTACCATAGCATCTAAAAAAATTTATGGTGTCTTAAAAAAATAAAAATACTTAAAATACACACTAGATATGGAAATAAATTTTATTTTTAAAATAAAATTTGGTTATGACACAGAACTGGTGATGCTTGTTTGAAGCAGTATATAGAATAATATTTTTAAACCTCTTACTTCTAAAAAGAATCTTAAAATTTTTTGTTAGTGCATTTTTTTACTTGGAGATGTGTTTTTGGTTCCTCTACTGGGTTTGCATGTTTGGTCTGTTTTTATTTTTTAGGGCAGCAAAAACGAACTTTAATTATTTGACACAATTTTTAGCGAATTCAAAATTTATGGGATCTTTATACTACGTTCACTTATACTGGTCAATTTAGGACATTAACACGTTTTGTGAACTCCTTAAAAATTTCTACAAATCAATAACTGCGCTAATTAGATATTTAAATGTTTTTATGAAAAATTCCTAGTGATATATACCTAGTCCTAGTGTTATACACGTAAAAATTATTTTCAAAGAATCTGTGTGTTTTAAGACTGGTTAGCAAGTTCAACACATTATCAGTAAAAAAAATGCTTATGCTTTCAAAGTTCTAATTAAGTTTTAAAATGCCTATTTTTGAAAAAAAAATTCCATATGCTTAAGTGATTTTAATTCTTGTATTCTTTTAAAACCACATATTCAATGAGGAGACCAATTTCCTTTGACCTCGTAATAAATTTAATTAGTATAATATGAAATTTATTGATGCCTTGAAAGAATTTGGACAAAGGTATTCCAAATGCGTCTAAGCACATAATATAGCATGCAAATTCCATCAAAATATAGTTAAATCTGTTTTTATCAAAATATTGTTTTTCAAGCTTATTTTACTTTTTTTCATATAAAAAACAAACCTTTATTTCTTATTATTTTAAATAATAAGCAAAATGAACTTTTTTAACATTCACTGAATAATAATAAGAATTTAAAACCTGCAAAATTTAATTTTTTTCTTTACTAAATCTAGCTAAATCTTTTTAATCAAGATATTAACGTAAGAGTTATTGTACTTCTCTTATTTTTCATGTGAAGTTTTATTTATCAATATTTCGAATAAGCATCTAAAAAAATATAATTTTTTTAATGTTTGACATAACATTTTAGTTATTTTTAACGTTTAACGCATGTATCTTTGTACAATGTATAAATTGTTTAATCAATCAGCTTAAGATATTTGTAAACATGTTTTATTAATTTTATTTAAAATAAAGTTCAAATTAAATTGTATTAAAGTTGATGTTTTACGGAAAATTTACAGTGCAAATTTTAGGAATCTAAATGAAATAAATTAAAAAAAACCCTTTAAAATTTCATTTTAAATTTAAGTCTGAATTTGACAATAAACTATTGTCTTAAACTATGTCTAAATTTTAATAATATCGTATTAGATTTTGATCTTCTATCTATATATATTTTAGATTTTTTAGCTAATTACCTAACAATAATTTGATGCTAAAGAGCATAATACAACAGTGTGAAATTTATTGTTGTGTCTTACGAATATTTTCCTATTTTAATGTAATTGAAGCATGTCGGCATTTCCAATTTGTTTGTTCTTTTTAAGCGAATGTAGTTTTTAAAATTAACGAAAAAAAATTTATACTGTTTTGAATATAGTATTGTTTTTACAATTCTCATCAGACATTCTTGACATTCAAATTATTTTAAATTTTTGACTTTAGAATCCTTTTTCTAACTGAAATACAATTTAACAAATGTAATTTTTTTTTCACACGATGTCAATAAGTGTTTGATCTAAATCATTGTTACTCTTCACAATAATAATATCAATAATAGTAGTAATATTAAACAGTAAAAATTATTTATGTATTTTGTCAAAAGTAGATTATTATATAGAAAATTTCACAATTGATTTGATTTAACATAGATTTTTAGGCAACTTTTTAAAATCATAAGACATTATCTAACTGAAGTACTAGCGCTTAAAACTTCACTTGATTCAGGATGTAACAAAGGTTCAGGTTTTTTGGGAACTAAACTGTGACATACTAACTTTCAAACAGGAGAAGAAAACTGGTGCTTGAAGAAATATTCTTAAAAGGCATCTAACAAAGATTTAAAGTTTATTTTTAAGGTGCTTTCGAAACATTCATTTATACACGGAAAACTACTCTTTCAAGTAACTAAAAAATATAGCAAGTGCAAAAACAGATTTATAAGTTGAGAGCGGTTTGAAAGAAATATCCTTTAAGGAAACACCCTAAGGATTGTGGTGCTTTCAGACTTTTGAATTATGTTTCAATTTATTTTCAAAGAATTTCAGCTAGTTGTTATCGCATTAGGAGAAACGAAGTGAAGTGGACAAAACTGAGGATGTAAAATATTGAGTCATTCCTCTGCAACATTTATCACAATTTAGATTTAAACCGCTTTATTTACGATAAATATTTTGAGGAACATGTGAAATGAAAAACATTGCTCTTATATTTTAAAAAATATATAAATCCGTAATTTGTTTTGAAATGAAAATTCAGTTTTATTAAACTTTTCACATTTGATCATAAATTTACGAAAATTTTAGAAGTTAAATATATATTATAATTCTTTTTTTTTAGTAATAAAAACATTTTCGCATGTATATGCACTAAAAACAAAAATCATAAAATAAGAGAGCAAATGAAGAAAATTAATAAGTTTTATTTACTGAGCATAAGCTGCAAGTATATAGAACTCATTAACCAAGTTAAAAATGTAGAGAAAATATGGAAAATGATAAAGAAAAAAGAAAAAAAAGGTTATTAAGATAGAAATTATTAAGATAAAATATATTTAAAAATATTTAACAAAAATTAAAAAATGTATATTTAAAATCCGGAAAACAAAGAAAAATCAAGAGATATATTCTCTTGATTAGCTCACACGATTATATCCCAGAAAAGGAGTGCTTTCTAATATTGTATTTATATATGCAAATCAAGATATAATGTTACAATAGTAGTAAATTAAGTTTAAAATATATCACGCAAAAGAACAGAAAATAAAATTCAAAGAAAAAAAATACAAAACAAAACCGATAAAGCGAGTAGCGAATTCAAATGAACTTACATGTACTGAAATCTTTCAAGAATGATTTAAAATGTTTCCGTAATAAGATGCCAGATTACGAAATATGAAAACAGAAGCGGAAATAGAGTTAAAATGAGCAAATAAACCTCTTAGACCTCCTTACTGAAGTACTGTAGCGCGTTTGATTTGCTAGTTAACAAAGATAGGCCCGAAAAATGATGTGCGTAAGGTAATAATATTTTACTAGTTAATTTAAAGAAGTTAATGATTTATATGGTTGAAATTTAATTATACAATTTTAATGATTTTAGAAAATTAACATTTATTTTAAAAAATATGATTCGCCCGTTTTGCACAGATGTTTTGCCACGGACTTTAACGAATTGGATTTGGACATGATAAAAATATAAATTACCAAAAAAGTTTTCTGTAAATTTATTAATAATAACATACAAATAACTCAATGATTTTATATAGAACTTTATTACTTTATTTGGTTATCCATTGTCTTTCCCTAAATTTTAAAAGAGTTTGTCTATTTGCTTTTAAGATAAGTGAACATTACTACATATTCTTTTAATTCTATTTATTTGATTAAAAAAAGAATTTAAATAGATTTTTTTAAAAACATCTTAGATGCATTAGAAAAAGTAATCTAAATCCAAGTAGTCATCAATAAATCTAAGAACAAATTTAATATTAAGAGTATTTTGTTTTTCTTAATAGTGTAAATATAAGTTAGCTAAGAGATTAAAAATTAGATCCTTGTGGTATTCCATCAATTTGAATAAATATACATTTTCCACGGCAAAGAAAACCATTAAAAAGACAAAAATTCATTAAAATTTCGCAATAAACAAAATCGAAATAAAGAATATTTTAAAAATCATAGTAATAACTCAAAGGAACTTATTTTAGTTTAGAAAAAGGAATGCTGTTGAAAAGATCCTGGAAATCAAAAGTTACAATAGAATTAATTTTAGTTTGTTTTATAAATTCTAAAATCAGTTGATTATTGGTGATAATCCTAGAAAAACCTTCTTTATTAATATTGGTAATAATTTAATTTCGCAATTAGAGAAAATGGTGTAATGTTCAGTTAGGTAAATATTGCAACTGTCCTAAATTGGAATTGGAATTTTATGATTAGTCAGATCAGATTTAACTTCATATTAGTTTAATCTGACTAATCATAAAATTTATCAGATCATAAATAATTTTGTAATTCAAAGTTCTAATTCATTTTTAGAGAAAACGTTATATTTATAAAATAGTTGAAAACTATCCTTATATTATCAGAACCACTATTTTATAAATTTAATTATAGCTTTGAAATATATAATTATCATCGAGAAAGGCTTTTCATTTTTGTTGCATGTAAAAATAATCAGATGGTTTCTATTTTACACTCCTATCACTGGTATAACTATTTATCACATTTATCACATTATATTAATCACATTAAACTATTATCACTGGTTGTTCAAATTGGCAATATTCAGTTTGCAAATTCGCTTTGAAATAATAAAAAAATAAGGCAACTACGATGATTCATGTTTCAAACAAAAATGCAGAGCACTTGCCAAAAGAAGATTTTTTCTATGATTATTACAAAATAGGGAATGGAGAAATGCTATTAGAAATCTTTAATAGTTCAAAGATTTCTGTATCTCTTATCAGCTTGTATTGTAATAGCTTAGTTTCGGCAATAAAGTAAAAAAAAAATTTTATTGTTTATTTATAATAGAGGAAATTCAAAATATTTAATGTCTCAGGAACAAATACAGGTTTTTGTGTAGCTTCTTTATAAGAGTTTTCCGGGGGGTCAAGCAAGTTTCCTTTTTAAACAATCCATCTCTGAAGCTTGAGAAAATATATTTTGTTATTTTTTTAAATATTTTTGTATTACATATGAGAATA